CTTTTACATTCTTGTTCGTTTGTTTAACGTCTGTTCAATAACAAAGAACGCAGAAAGAAATTCTGATTTTCTACTGCGAATCCCAATTAATGGAAGTGGAAGTCTGCTATTAAACGTAGACTTTAATTTAGAAAGTAAAACTAGGTGTGTCCCATAACTTCTTCCATTAAAGATGGATTTTTAATGATGCAACTTTTAAAGGTTTTCTCCAACCACCATGACCACTTCTGCTTTTAAGTGGTCGTGGTGGTAGGAATCTGTATGCGCAGCATTTCTACTTGAAATGCTGCACCTACAGAGATACTTGCCCTTTTTTGCTCGCGGCTAGTAACACCCCTGGCACATGCTGGACTGTCAGATCTCTATTCTGTGCAAAATTTACATCTGTCCACAGTACGCTGGCAATAGATGTGGTCATCTTCTCCTTTGCAGGCTGCTCAACCTTCCTGCCCCTTTCTGCATGAAATTATTTTGTTTTTTTGTTTTGTTTTCCCTCACTCGCCAACTACTCTGAACAGTAGTTCAAGTACTCTGAACAGGGCAAAGTGTCTAATCTAATACTTTTCTATGAGAAGCATTTGATGGGACCACGATCAGGCACCGCTGACGTCAGATGGGGCATGAAAGACCGCACTGGTAGCTTCACCCAGCGTTGGAATGTGCAATGTTATACTCTGTAGTAACATGAAACAGCCCCGTATCATTTGACTTTTTTGCTTGTTTTCTAGTTAATTATGTTTTTTAAAAGTAGAAGCAGGCTATTATGTTGTGTGATGAAGTGAAAGCTGACCTATTTCTACAGATTCTGCTGCAGGATTCTGTTACAAACACCATATACAGATGACCCTTTTTTTGCTACATTGACATCAAGCCATGTCCTGCATGACTGCTGCACTTGACTGCATAGTAGATTGATTCAATGTTAAAGGTGGATGTGTCCATAAAGTATATGTAACAAATCAAATTTAACTACTGATTAGAAATTGCATATTTGTAGAATTAAAAAGCATATGTTTTCATTGGCAATAAATGTTCCATTTTTAAACTTCTGCTTTATAATCATCCTCCAGGTAATTGTGTACAATGCTTTTGACGGCCATGTGTTTAATTCTTAGATTGACACGTGGTGCAAAGAGAATGACTATGTGATTGCTGGATATTACCAAGCCAATGAACGTCTGAAAGACTCATGGTAAGTCACTAGCTATAGCTTTAATGGTCCTTATCTTGGTTTGAGTTCTTATGGCTTAAACTAATTCTAGAACAAGCAGTCTTTGCTACCCTCTGCAAAGCCTTGTTATCTGATTACAATTATGATTTCTATAGAGAATGATAAGGCACATTCAAACTCAGAGAGACCGAGCAGAACACCAGCCAGAATGGGCCCTGATCACACTCCATAGCGGAGATGACTAATCTCTTGCAAGGCAGCTTTTGTGCATTGGTCCTCTTGGTGCCTAGCCATCCACACTAAATCATGGGAAATGTAGGCCACAACAGCTGGTTTGTCAAAGATTGCTCACTTTGGATAGTTGAGACACAATGAGATTGCATCACAAGGAAGTTAAAGATGATTGAAAGTTATATGGAATACTGATGTACAGATAGCAGTAAAGGATGTGAAGGTGTGATTGAGAAACAGTGGCCAATATAATGGGGTAAAATAGCCAAAGATACAGAAACAGACAGATTTTGAAAAGGTTTGGACATAGGAGATGCATGATATGGATATAAATAATATATAATGGATGATTTTCTAATATTTTTTTTTTATATATTATTATTATTTGGGCAATCACACTGAATATTTTGGATATGAGCCAGTTGAGGGAAATTACTGTAGCCATGTGTGCGTTAAGTTAATGAGGAAGCAAAAGATTTGCAGGTTATGGCGACCAAGCTGTGAGGGAAAATTTAAGGGTCTGCTCGGGACTTGGCATCAAAGCATTAAATACTAGTCAACTTTTTTCCTTTTTAAAAAAAAAAACTATTTTCTATAATTTTTTCTTTAGTGCAGATAACAAACTTTTCTTGCTTTAGTCCCAACCAGGTTGCTGAAAGAATTGCCGCCCGGATTGCTGAAGGATTCAGTGATGCTGCCCTTATAATGGTATTGGAAGCTTGTTTCGTGAATGTTCTTATTTGTTTTTGTGGTTTTTTTTTGTTTTTGTTTTTTTGTGTGAATGTTCTTATCTCTTTGGCACTTATCTCCTTTGCCTTCCTTAACACACATCTTCAACTGCTCGCTCTCTCTTCTGGCATTGTCCCTGCTGACCTTAAACATGCCACTGTAGTACCTATCCTGAAAAAACCCAGCTCTCGACCCGTCCTCCCCCTCTTACTATTATCCCATATCCCTGCTCCCTTTTTCCTCAAAGCTTCTGGAAATACTTGTCTTTACCCGTATGTCTCAATTCCAACTCTCTCCTTGACCCTCTTCGATCTGGCTTCAGCCCCTCCACTCTACAGAGACTGCTCTTATCAAAGTTACTAACGACCTAATCGCAGCTAAATCCAAAGGCCACTACTCCATACTAATTCTTCTTGACCTCTCTGCTGCCTTTGACACCGTTGATCATGCTCTCCTTCTTCAAACTCTTTTTAATCACTCTCTGTGACACAGTCCTCTCTTGGTTTTCCTCCTATCTCTCCCAACGCCCATTCAGTGTCTCATTTTCTAATGATACCTCCTCTCTTTGTCCTGTCTCGTTTGGAGCCTCCCCAAGGCTCTATCTTTGGTCCCCTTCTATTTTCTGTTTATACTGTCTCTTTTGGCAAACTTATTACCTCATTTGGATTCCATTACCACCTATACGCTGATGACACCCAGATGGATCTCTCCTCCCCTGACCGCTCCCCTTCCGTTCTGCAGCGTGTCACTGCTGGCCTTTCTTCCATCTCTGACTGGATGTCCTCCCGCTATCTGAAACTCAGTCTCTCTAAAACTGAGCTCCTTGTCTTTCTTCTTCCTAATAGTGATCCACCCCTTTCGCTCTCCGTTCAAGTTAGTGGTATCCACATCAGTCCATCATTGCAAACGCGCTGTCTTGGCGTCATACTTGATTCTGGCCTCACCTTTGAGCCTCACATCCAGTATGTTGCCAAATCCTGTAGATTCCATCTTAAAAACATAGCCCGCATCCGCCACTTTCTTACATAAGATGCTACTAAGGAGCCTGTCCATGCTATAGTAATCTCTTGCATGGATTATTGTAACCCTCTCCTAATTGGTCTTCCCAAAAACCATATTGCCCCGCTACTGTCTGTAATGAATGCTGCCACCAGACTGATTTTCCTCTCTAGTCGGTCCTCTTACACCTCACCCCTCTGTCAGTCCTTACATTTGCTTCCTGTATCCTATAGGAGTCCATTCAAAGTGCTAACCCATACCTATAAAGCACTGAACAATTCTAGCCCCTCTTATCTCTTCACAGATCCATAGGTATGCCGCTTCTCGGTCTCTCCACTCTGCTTCTCCTGTCCGCTGCTCGCACGCGTACGGCCAACTCACGCTTCCTATGTAATAGTCTGCCTACCGCCATCAGACTCTACCCTAGTCTTCAATCATTTAAGAGGTGCCTTAAAACCCATCTCTTTATGGCCTCCGAGAGTAACCTCTACCTCACATTCCTGGCTCTCTCCTAAAGGGCAGCACTCTACTCTCTCCTCCAGCTCTGCTTCACTCCCACCTATTGTGATTGCTACCGCCTGTCCTGTTGTGTTTTACACACCACCTCCTGTAGACTGTAAGTTCATTTGAGCAGGGCCCTCTTCAACCTATCGTTCCTGTAAGTTTTCTTGTAATTGTCCTATTTATAGTTAAATCTCCCCTCTCGTAATATTGTAAAGCGCTAAGGAATCTGTTGGCGCTATATAAATGGCGATAATAATAAAACACTATTTGTAGTTAGAGTACAGTGATGGCTAATTATGCTTAGTCAGACTTTAATGTACAGTTGAGCAGTAACTGCTATAATGCGTACTGTATGTTTTGTAGATATGAATATTTTATCTTTTTATTGGCTGACATAGCATTTCAATCATTATTCACCTGGTTACATGCATCTTGTATATACTGGGTAATTCACTGATATTTCAAAAAGCATTATCAAAATGCTTTTATACAACTTACCGGTTTTAGTAATTGATGCAAATCATTTGAACCATTTTTCCATTAAAACAATGAATATTGTTTTTGCCTGTGGTGGCTGATCTCTCTAACGCTCTCTGTAACAGGATTGAACAGGACAAGTGGTAGATATACATAGTGTCGCATAGTATCTATATTCTCTCCTGACTCAGCCCCAGGCGATCACAGCCCGAGGGAGCTGAACCAGGACATAAGATACAGTTACTTTACGACTCTAGCAGTGAGAGCAGGAGACTGTATTCTAGAAGGTTGCCTAGGGACCCAGAAAGAAAACAAACGGGGAGCAGTCTCCGTGCAATTTAGACACATTACCGTCTCCTAGTAATGTATATCTGCACAGTAGGTTTCTAATTGTGAGTTACTGATTGTAGATGTCACCCTTCTAAACCATGATTTTGACTGAGGTACTTAGCTTCTGTCAAGGCTGTTGTACCCTACATCAGCCACCATGGTTAGCCATAGTCTGGCCATGTTTGGTAGTCATTCTACTCTAGCTAAATTATTAGGGCAGGTAACATTTTTCTTAGCTTTTGATAGTAAATACAGCTTTCATCAAAATGTCAGTGCTTGATTGGAGTTTTTTAATCCAGTGTTTTTGTGGTAGCTACCATAAAACCCCACACATCCAGCCATAATGTGGTATGAGCATGTAAAATCCCTTGCATTTTCAGATTTGCCAGCTATTAAACGTTATTTAATTAATATTACTACGATTTATTATATTCTTTTTGGGAGATTATCTGAAGGCCTCAAAGCTAAGTTTTCTCATTTGACAACCAGAGCAAATTATCTGAAGACCTGTTCCCCCACAAAAATGTGTTTATTTACTAAACCGTTCTTGCAGTGAATTCAAAATAAACTAAATTCTCCAACTTGGCTCCTGGTTTAGTGAATAAATGTGTGGCTCAGTGGTGGCTTACCTGAGTGCTGTGATGTTCATTCAGTCCTAACCACCTTTCCACTGTTCTGGATATTCTCTGTCTCAAACTGTGATCCAAAAGTTATGGTGGTAAATTTTACTTATTTATTTGTGTGTTTGTTTGTGTTTTTTTTTTCACATTGTCAAAATAAAACATTTTAATTGCTTTGTTAGATCAATCAATAGAGCAAAATATTGCGAACACTTTGGCTCTCAGGAATCGCATCTACCTGACATTGTATGTAGACAGCCAGCAGTAATGGAGAGCTGGCATTGAATGGGCGGTGCAGGGTTTGGGTACACAGCACTAGGTGAAAATATGAGCATCAATTTTAAAATTTTTCTGAAAAAGCTGTTCAAATGATTTAATATTTAAAAAAATAATTTAACATTTGGAATTTAAATATATATATTTCATATGTGACATATTGTTTGATATTTTACAATTTTTTTTGAAAAATCATTTTAAAAACCTCTCCAAAACTATTTAGTCGAGGCCTTAGTGATTGTTCAGGATGACAAAGAGTTTAGAGGAAACAATACTTTTGAAGTGATGTTTTATTTCTGCTACTTTGCACCAGAATACTATTTAAACAAGTGTGTTTGGTAACATGGCAGTGCTTTCTCTTTGACTAGGTGGACAACACAAAATTCTCCATGGACTGCATAATTCCTTCAATTAATGTTTATGAGCACCACGACAACCGGTGGAAATGCAGGGATCAGCATGAGTGAGTACACATGTGCGCTGTTAAGAGTATTGACTGCTCCACCTAGTGGCGACAACCAGTTCCACAACTTGGGCAAATATTTTTTTATATTTAACCATAACTACATCCCCCAGCAAGAAGTACATATTCTGTATTAATAAATCATACAGAACTGTACACATTGATCTTTTTGTAATGTCCTTTTTTTATTTTATTATTATTTTTTTTTTTTTATAGTAAATCTTAATTGGAAGGCAAAATCAATGAGTCAATGCCAGAACACATTTCAGTGTTCTAATACAGAATACCTCCTTTTTTTGTGTAGTGAGCAAGGCCTCTTACTATGTAATCATTCTGCTGCAACCATTTAATCTTGTAAAAGGAGGACAACATATACTGAATGAACATACTAGAAAGTACCCAAGTGCACGTATCGTGAATATGCGGTATACCGTATACTTAATATCGTCCTGTGCAGCCAGAGCAGTAAACAAATGAAAAAATTATTACACATCGAAACAGAAATATAAGAAAAAAGAAAAATTGAGGGGGGAAAAAATATGTCAAAGCCGTTCAGGTTAGTGGTTTACTGGACCCCAAAAAGGCTGTTCCCAGCACAAACGGTGTGATGTTGTTAACAGACCACGTGGGGTGGTTCACTGCTAGCATGGATACTTACGGAAGCCTCATCTCCTGAGGTACAGCAGGTGTCTCTGTAAGTTATAGGATAGGTCTTGTCACGGTTTTCCCACGAGGAGCCTGTGGGTATCCCACTGATATGAATCTGTCAGTGACTTTCTCCATACAATTGTATTTCTGGATAAGTCCCGATAAAGGTAGCTGTGTGCTAAAGGTACCTGGGGTAAAACCTGCATTATGAAAGTCAGGCTGTTCTTGTGCTTTCGTGAGCACCATCTTAGCGGTCACTGGCGTAGGAGCCTGTTTCAAGAAAGTCACAATATCACGTGATATGGAGCCCAGATCAACCCCGTGCTTCTTCGATTTCTTCCCCATCTGTAGCTGGACTGATGGTTCCCCAAGCCAGCTCTGTGGGTACATTTATTTCTACACAAAGATCTTTTAGGTTAGCAGTTCAGTGTGGAGCTCCAGCAACCTCTCACTAGGGTGCTGGCTCCGCCCCCTGCACCACTTGATCTTACGTGTTTTATGTTACATGTTACTGTAAGCGCCATAACCACTACAGCTCATTGTACAGTTTATGGTGCCCTGGGTCTGTGGCCATAATATTTTGGTTTTCTGGTATTGTACAGGCTTCACATGCACTTTAGCTGTCCAAAGATGTTCAGTCTTAAATGTTGGTGATGGGCAGTGAACCCTGGGATATCATTTAGGCTCTAGGATTGATTGCACCACTGGGGTCTGGGATGAACTCAATGCTGCCTGTGCAAATACCAGCGATTTCAAATGCATTTATATTTATATGTAAGATACATTTTTATGTATTGTTCCTTTTTAAAGCAGTGCTTCACATACCACAAGGACCAGCAAAAGTCCATGTTGTATCTGTTTCCCCATTAGAACATAACTGGATATTGTGTGTATCCTGGATCTGATATTTGATATCATATCAGAAGATCGAGGTTAATCTTCTATGGCTTGTGGTTTTTGTATTTTGTTTCACTGGTCAGCTGAGGAAGATGCTTAGAAATAAGAGAGAGATAGATATATTTGAAATTTAGAATTTAATGAATAAGACTTTCCTTTGTTACCTCGTTATAGCTTCACTTTATGTATTAGACAAACAGACAAATTAGAGCTAAGTATGACAAGTTTAATTTGTAATTAAAGCACCCAACCAATGTTGCCATCTTTTTTATACCATTCATACTTCTCATAATATATTCCCTTAGTTTATTATAGATTGCTATTTAAGTTGATTTAAAATATGCCAGGAAGGGGTTTCTTGTTTTAGCCAAAATCTAGAAATTGCGACTTTAGCAGCCATAGACAAATTAATTAGTAAATATATTTTTTTGAGTCGGTATACCTGAAAAGTTAAAATAGAACATCATAACATTCCCCAATTCATTGACTAGTAACTTAACTAATTCTTTTATTATCATCCTCTATATCTTATTCAACAGATGGCAGTCCCACCAAATATGCTTCGAACTACTCGTGCAACACGCTTACACCTCCAATAAAGTGGAGAGTCTGCGAGATTTATTTTACTCATAATTTTAGGGACAAGATGCCACTGATGGAGTATTTTATATTAAAGTTTGCTAAGGTTCAAACAATGTAGTGTTTTTTTTTTTTTTTGTGTGTTTTTTTTTTTATAATTCTTTATTTTGTCAATGACAGATATAATTAGGCAATGCAATTTTGTGGCTTGCGCAGAAGCCACGATATCATGCAGGCAGCTTATACGTTATTACAGTTACATCGTTTGAGAATTACACCTGTCTGTCATCGTTTTTCAACATTACAGTAAGAACAACACTTAGATAACTTATAACTTATAACATAAGAAGTTACTCTTTAACAGGGCCTTTGAGTTGCCGTCGCGGTGCAGCGGCTTTGGCGTGTTGAGCTTCTAGGTCGGGTTACCGGAAGGCCCGACCTGGTATTGGGGAAGGGGTAGATTAACCTAAAAAGAGGGGGGGTGTGTGTGTTTTTTTGTGAAAATCTAGACTTTTACCATTGATTGATATGTACAGGGGTTCAAAAATCTTTATCCCAATTATTCCAAGCTTTAGGTTTTTGATCTTTATCGTCTATTCTTAAACTTTCATAACAGAAGGAATTGGTCTTAGAATTAAAATCCTTCTCAAACAGTTTGTTCGTTTTTTGGTTTTTTTTTATTTTTTTTAATTTAGAATATTATGGTTGTCGCTTAGAATATGATTTCCTGTGTAGTTTTTTACTCTAGGATAAGTAAAAATCTATTTGGAAGATATATTAGAAGTCTGCTGCAGTTGTGCGAAAGGTTTTTATCTTATCAAGTGTAATATCCGAAATTCACCTGATACCAGCTCCAAACCAGTTTTTTTTAACGTTTAAATCTCTTCTATTACCTTGAATAGTAGTGATGGGACTACCTTTTAGAGATTTTGTTTAAGATCCTATTCTTTATTTAAACCAATCATAGTATAGGTTTTTGTATTTATTACATCACTTTGTCTCATTCCAGGAATTTCTTTGAAGACTGGCCAGAGGCACAAAGAATTTCTGCATCCCTCATGGACAGCAGGTCTTATGAGTCCCTTGTGGATTTTGACAGCCATCTTGACGACCTCCGTAATGACTGGGCCAATCCAGATATCAACAAATCAATCATCCATCTATGCTAAGATTGCAGAGATCTCTGGCTCAATCCGTGATATGCAAGCTGACCTCTGAATGTAGTAACCGTTGGATTAAGAAACATCTCTACCCAGATGGGGATGAGCAACTCAAGATGGCAGTATGGTACCTGGCAGGGAGAGCTCCTTATGCAGCTAGTTTTCTCACTGATAAGCTATTTAAGAGCAGTGAAGGCGTTTCATGTCCGTCTGTGTCATAGAGAACGGGGAAATAGCCAGCAGATTCTGCAAAGTTCTGACAGCCCTCTTTTAAAATTGTATCTTGATTTTCTATAATAAGAAGATAATTTCTAAGGATTTTTCCAGTTTTCTCAAATGGCATCTACAAGAGGTTTCAAAAAAAAAAAAAGACTTTTTAATGTTCAAAACTTTTCCGATGCTGTGTGATTTAGTATCTGGTTTGTTATAGAGCTTAAAATATATTGAATTCTAAGTGATTAACCACACTATGTTTGGCACAACATGAAATATAGGATTTAATCACTGCTTGTTTTGTTTCGGTTTTCCTCTTGTCTCTCTGTAATGAGAAAAAAAAAAAAATGTTTAGGAATTTAATAATTTTTAAATGGTTCTTTCTCTCCAGAGATCACTGGTATAACAGGCTGCTTTGTATTCAATTATGGGCAAAAGCCTTTGGCGTGAATAAGATATATTTTGATCCATGTTTTGCATGAGACTGGGAAGTGGTTGTACAGCTGATATTGTACCACTATGGTTGTGTTTATTTCTGTGAACCACCCAGAGCCTTTCCTAAAAAAAAAAAAAAAAGTATGTTTTGGTTTAATGTCACTGCCGTACTTGTAGTGTGTTTCAACCTCGTTTCTACAAGCAAATCGTACCTTCCTTCTTCCCATCTAGTTAATTTTTAGACGGCTTTACTGTGCGACTTGAGGTTTTTTTTGTTTCGTTTTTTTAGAATATTCTATTTACTCTGTTGCATCTTAAATGTTTTTGACCCGCACAGCATGTCTTACCAGCAATGTGAAAGTTTAAATTATTTTCTTGCTTTTCTTCTCCTTTACACTATTGATGATTTCCACACATTACTCCTTTTTATGAAAAATTTAAATTCTGATGATGGTAGGTCCGTTACAGAGTTTGTGTATAATGTAATTCTTCGATACACTACTATAATCCGTGGAGCAGTTTTGCCATACACAAGTTAAAGGGGAACTGTCACTTTTTTATTTTCTTTTAACAGGATTTTTACCATTATGTTTATTTATCCCCTGTATTAAACAAAAAATAAATTTAAATGTAGAAAACGAAACCTGTCTATCCTGGAACTGAAAACTCTGTATTGACTCCCTGTCGGTCATTGAACTGTGGTTTGAATTTCTAAATAGTTGATACATGTTTAAAAGAAAACTGAGTGAGCATCACATGAGGGGAACAAAAAAATGTGGATTTTTTGTTGTTGTTTTTGTGTGTTTTTTTTTGTTTTTGTTTTTTTTTTAGTGATTTTCAATGTTTGATAGTGTAATTTCCAGAGAAAAGACTGTTTCTTTTTAATTCAATATATTTTTTTTTTTTAATCGTCTCTCTTTCATTCTTTAACCCCTTAAGGACACGCGACGTGTGTGACATGTCATGATTCCCTTTTATTTCAGACGTTTGGTCCTTAAGGGGTTAAAGGGACTGTTTGCTAGCACGCTGAATGCATACAAATGTGAAATTTCTATTCTATTATATTATTATATACTCTTATCTATATTTTACACCTTTTTTGTCCCTTTTGTGACTACAATTTAAATTATTCATAGGGGCTCTATGTCAATTACCTGCCTGTACATGTGCGGTTTTCTAAATTTTTTTTATTTTATTTTTTTATAAAGGGTCAAAAAGATGAGTAGAGCTGTACAATATACCAGAATCTCAGACAAGTTGACGTATGAGAAACATTAAAGGGAGATATAGACTAAGCTTCACGTGGGGACATACTGGAAAGGATGGACTTTTCCTATCATTCATGCACAGTATGAATAAAATATATATATGGCTTCTTGATTGACAGTCTTGGTGGACAACCTTATAACAGCTGCCATTATTAATCACCCCCAGGTTAGTGTTTTAAACACCAACTGTCTTGTAGTAATCTGCGAATGAAGCTTACACTGACCTTTTAGGGCAAAGGGCAGGTGTGCGATCTGGTATTTATCTTTGGTCTTTAATTAGTAGGAAGGTAGAACATTTTATAGGTAAGAATTCCACTTGTGGTTTGGAAAAATAACACAGGATAATGCCTGGAAAGGGGAGATAAGTGAAAGTCCTGAATGAAGAAGGCGCTTGGGAGAATATCGGGAGGAAAAAAGCAGAGATGCTGGGGGAATGCAGCATTGGGTGTTAGTTTGGGTCTTAAAGTGAAACTCTACTTTATTTTTGTATGGTGTTTAAATTGGCCCCAAATACATTGAATGCATAATGTATCACAAACATACATGATGTATTTAATGTAAATTTTCAAGAAATACCCACTTTCCCTCCGCTTCCAAGCAGGACAAACTTCCTGTGTTATGCGGTCTTTGCCAGAATGCCGTTGAGGACATTGGGAGATTGGGGTTTGGCTGTAATAACCAGCGCTCTTTCTATGCTGCATACAAATCGGTACAAAGCCTTAAAGGGAAGTTATAGTGCCAGGTAAACACATTTGGTTCCTGGCACTATAGCTTCCACCTCTGTCAAGGCCCCTCGACGGTGCAAAAGGGTTTTAATAACCTCTTGTGTCACTTACCTGGGTCCAGCACCGATGTCCCTCGGTGCTAGCTCGGGTCCGCCTCCGCTCCTCCCCCACCGGCTGGGGGAGACCTAATGGGCATGCACGGCAATGGATGCGCTCGCATTAGGATTTCCTTATAGGAAAGCATTATTAAATGCTTTACTATGGGGTCTTGGGTGATGCTGGATGTCCTCATGCATAGAGTAAGAATGTCCAGCTTCAGTTAGGTGACCAAAAGTCACAATAACAGCCCGGAAGTCAGACAGCCACTAGAGTACGAGTTAACCCTAGCCGGTAATTATTGCAGTTTATAAAATAAAATAATTTTATTTTCAATTGTAATTGCCTGCTCAGAGTTAAGGGACCTGTGACACTGCACTCAGACCACTTCAGTGAGCTGAAGTAGTCTGGGTGCCTATAGTGTCCCTTTAATAAAACTTAATTTAGTTGCAAATCCACCCTGAATTGTCCCTTTTATATTGCAGTATAATTGATTATTTAATTCACCCTTTTATGTACAGTTACTGTGTGCGTGCACTCCAGCTTTGAATGTAGCTGAGATTGCAATTCTTATCTCAACAGCCTTGTCAAGTTTTTAAATGCATTTATTATTTATTCATAGAACAACCAGTCCTCTATATTGAACCAGGGATATCTATAAGGGATTCTAACTAGAAAAGGTTGTAATGTTTATTTTAAATTTTATTTAGAAATGAAAACCCCTTAATATTTTGTGTATGCATGGACAGTGTAAAATGTGCTTGTTTTTCAGATGCAGCATTGTAAAGGTATTTCAGATTCCCTTTTTAAACGACAATCTGTCGAAGTGTAACTCTGAAATGTGCCATATAATCTCCTGCACTACTTTTGCATTCTTGAGGATGTTACATGGTTTTTAATGCAGTAGTGTGTTTTAAATGACATTTGCAATATTTGATAAAATGTAGATGGAATAAAGTATCAGAGAAACAAAGGGGCTTATTCGCTTAGCTAGAGTTGTGGAGGTTTGACAAAGAAAAATTCAAGTTTCAGCCCACAGTAGCCATGTTTTATAGGTTTGGTTTTTTTTTTTATTAACTATTTTCAACCTAAAATGTGCGTTTCCATAGTCAACCTTTTGTACTTCACACTTTGTAAATTAACCACAGAATATTGTATGTAGAGACACTATAGTTATCTACCTATATAGATCATTAACTCCAAGGAGCAATTGGTAGAATTGTGGTGATAAGTTAGGATGAGCAGTTGTTTCTAATACAATTGGGACATTTGGGAAATGACGGTTTACTAAAGTGGGAAAAAGGTTTAACCATTCAGACTGTGCTAATATTGGCAGAGGGTAAAGTACAAGTTAATCTGTTTGTTTTACAAACTTTAGGAGAGCGGGATCATTAAGGCCTGGGGTGGATGGCAGAGACTTTGTTTATTTAAGGTAGAATTTTCGCCCACACTAATGAGAAATTAACTAAGCTCATTGTTTGCCTGGACAGTAATAACGCCTGTCCACTCTTTGGGTTTTTTTTGACAGAAGAATGACCTCAAAAGAGAAATTCTAAATTGGATGTGTTTTTTTTTTTTTTTCTAGCGATTCCTCTTTCTAGATGAAACAAAGATGTATGTGGATTATTTACTGCAGTTTTTAGAAAAAAATCTGGAAAGTTGTAACAGTTTGGGAAAACCATATGAGTTGGAATGTAATAATCAAGAATATACTCCTGTATTAATGGCTCTATGGGTTGTGCGAAGTTGCCAATTACTGCTTTTAGAATTACCTTGTATGCAGTAAATGTTGTAAGACAATTTGTCACTTTTTTATTTTACCCATTTGGGGGTCTCTTGATCACCCTACTGGTCCCTGGAGCTGCTGGCTACCCCCTCTGCTACAGCTGCACTAGGCTGGGAACTCACCAAGGGTTTCCTTATTATCTTTTCCAAAAAATTCCATTAGCACACACCATAAATACCCGTTTGGATCAAGTCTGTGAATTTTCATGAAGTTTTCCATTTGGAAACACGTTCCGTGCTTAATAGATAAATATAATTATTGTATTGGTTTGTCCTCAATCACTTGCGTACCTTGATCTGTAATCTCCCAGTAGGACCAATTATGAGATGGCTCTAAATGTATGAAACGGGACTGGACCCAGATATCACGGGATCCAGATCAGTAGATCAATACGTACTTATTTCTCTCCCTCTCATTGCTCCTTAAAGTGAAGAACAAAATACATGTGGCTCAGTTTTAGCACTTGCTTATAAATATTAACTACTTTGCATTGGTAACTGAGTGATTTGGATGGACAGTTACTATGGTTTAATCTGTAATAATGTGAAACTACTGCTCTGAGTGAATAATCAAATTCTTATGGCCTTCTGTAGGAAGTGGTTATATTCAACAAAGGGACACTGCAGACACCAATACATTAGGTATTTAATACTGTATAGTTTCATCTTAATTACCTTGAATATTTTTTTCATGATAACTTTTGTATATTTTCTCCCTGTTAATTAGTTTTAATTTCAATCTGTGATTTGTTTTTTATTCTCCCCATATAGCTCACTTATATACCTCTCCCTACATTGCTCCCATTTTCCTCCACACACTACTACTATTATTATTTTATTATTTATATAGCGCCATCAGATTCCGTAGCGCTGTACAATGGGTGGACTAACAGACATGTAATTTTAACCAGACAATTGGACGTACAGGAACAGAGAGGTGGAGGGCCCTGCTCAGCTTACATTCTATTCCAATTCCAATCTATTATTGGAATAGATTCTGTAACTATATGTATAGAGTGGTTATTTACACATGTATATGAGTAAATCTACCACTGGACACATCCTCTGTATACAATTAATTATTAGAACCATTGGGTTTTATTTATGTAGCTCTGTACTGCCTATCTTATACCAGTCATTGAGTACTTTACTGTTTGAATTTGGAGTTTCATTTCCTGTTACAGTGATACTTTTTATGATTAATTCTACCTTCTCCACAATAGTCTATGCTGCTTCAATAATTCATTCATATCAATCCATACCATTCAGGGTTTAGGAAATACACTCCCCAAGTTTTATAAAAAATGGGACTGAGACATTATTACTATACATTAAAAAGGGGGCTTTCTGGGGAACTACCTGACCTGGCTATGTTAGTTCTGCGTCTGCTTCATGTAACATCTCCTTTTTCTTCACTTTCCAAAGACTATTGTGTATGAATGAAAGTGCTTTACATAATAGGTGTAAATTAAAAGTAATAAGCTTTTAGACGTACTAGGGTACACAATAAACGAGAACTAAACATGCTTTTTTGTTAAACATTACAACATTTTGATTAGAGAACTTGTATTGTGTACACTATCTATCTGAGGTTTCCTCATTGTACTTGCGTTATGTTCAAATAATGTCTCATGGTTTAGGGACTTCCCAAACAACTCCCACTTATTGGGAGCCTGGGTTAAAGAGACACCACAAACAATATTACATCAAAGTAAAGAAGGGGGGTGTAGTGCCTCTTTCTAATAATTACACAAAATATATACACTGCAACCTGTATTATTCCTGGAATATAGAGAGAAGTGGGTTAGGACACAATAACTCACTATAAGTCTGCTATGTACAGGTCCTGACAATCATCCCCTGTCAAGTTGGCTTCTGTCTAGCTATCTCATGGTTTGTTCTCCACGAAAATGGTTAATGTGTTCCAATAGCTGTGTGATAGATCAGACTCCATATTTACTCTGGTCTCCACGACTGATGCTGGCACAGCACGTGCCACCCCAGAACCTTGTTTGTCATCACTGATCTAGAAAATTTAAATAAGCACTCGGAGTTCCATAACTACAACAGCATCCTGCTGTGGTTGTGGTGTCAGCATGTCTAATAGCTTTCTAGCGGTTTGACAAAAACTGAGCGTGCCTTTAAGGACCACTATAGTGCCAGAAAAACAAACTCTTTTTCCTGGCTCTATAGGGTCTCTGGGTCCCCCTCCCGCCGTGCGGAAGGGGTTAAACTCTTACCTTTTTCCAGCGCCGGGCTCACTCTTCTGACGTCACCAGCTGAATGCGCATGCGCGGCAAGAGCCACACTCGCATTCAGTCAGTCCATAGGAAAGCATTCTCAATGCTTTGCTATGGACGCTGACGTCTTCTCGCTGTGAAAATCACAGTGAGTAGCGCCTCTAGCGGCTGTCAATGAGACAGCCACTAGAGTCTGGATTAACCCATTTGTAAACATAACAGTTTCTCTGAAACTGCTATGTTTACAGCCGGCAGGGTTAACCCTAGATGGACCTGGCACCCAGACCACTTCATTGAGCTGAAGTGGTCTGGGTGCCTATAGTGGTCCTTTAACCCCTTATGAGAAATACTGTCATGATTCCCTTTTATTCCAGAAGTTGTGTCTTTAAGGGGTTAAGCACTTGTAGCATGGCCCTTAAAGGACCACTCTAGGCACCCAGACCACTTCAGCTTAATGAAGTGGTCTGGGTGCCAGGTCCAGCCAGGATTAACCCATTCTTTTATAAACATAGCAGTTTCAGAGAAACTGCTATGTTTATGAATGGGTTAAGCCTTCCCCCCTCTAGCGGCTGTCTCATTGACAGCCGCTAGAGGCGCTTGCGTGCTTCTCACTGTGATTTTCACAGTGAGAGCAAGCCAGCATCCATAGGAAAGCATTGAGAATGCTTTCCTAGGCGACCGGCTGAATGCGCGCAGCTCTTGCCGCGCGTGCGCATTCAGCCGATGGGGAGGAACGGAGGAGGATCGGAGGCAGAGAGCTCTCCGCCCAGCGCTGGAAAAAGTTTTTACCCCTTTCCCCCTTCCAGAGCCGGGCGGGAGGGGGTCCCTGAGGGTGGGGGCACCCTCAGGGCACTATAGTGCCAGGAAAACGAGTATGTTTTCCTGGCACTATAGTGGTCCTTTAATTTCCATGTTGCTGTTGCAGAAGTTCTACTTCCACATTAGCAAGAATAATTTGTCCAAGTTTAGATGGCTGAGTTTAATTAAACTGACAACTGTGGAAAGTGATAAGGGATTTGCAAATATAATTAGAACATTGCCAAATTAGTATTAAAAAAAAAAAAAAAAAGACTTTTTCCAATTTGGTTACTTTGGTTACATATGTGCAATTTGGTAGTCAAATGTAAAAAAAAAAAATACTGGTTTAGTAACTATCTCTGTTAAAGAGACACTCCACTGCCCAAATGCAAAATAAGGAGATATACCCCTAAAGACAACTTGCACATTTAAAATGCAATTATTTTTTTTTATTGGGTATATCTAAAAACAATTGGCAAAACCTGCAGTTCTCTTGTCTGCTGTCTTTATAAGCCCTCCTCTACTAATTCCACCCAGACCTTCTGCGACTGTCCAATCACAGACTTCCCAATGCAGCTCAATGAAAAGTCTTTGCAAGGCAGTTGGTCTGGGCAATTGCTGCCTCTTGAGTTAATCTCAACTGAGCTAAACAAATTAGGAAGTAACCAGACCTGTTGTCTGCTTGAATAGGGAGGGGCTGTAACCAGTATCATTTATAAAAGTGTCGATTTCTATTTAAATCTGCACTTTTTCAAACAATGAGAAAGTAGGACACACTCTTCACACACAGTTTTTCTGTAAGTTAATGCGCTTTAGGGGTCTGCAGTGTCCCTTTAATCTTTCCAGGATGGGAAATTCAGGTTGGGGCCAAAACAAATGTTCAAATGAATAGACAAGGCTAATATACTACACATAGATTACTAGGGACACACATATCTTGCAGGGAAAATGCATCAATAGATCACGCCTGGTCTTATCTCCAGAGAAATGCTAGATTTATTTTAGCAATATGTTATTTTTCAGGATGAATTTTAGACCACCCCTGGGTGGTCATAGATATTAACCTGGATTGCTAGAATGAGGGAAACTTATTGGATTTATCAAACTGGACGACATGGACATGAATAAACCTGTGTACAGTACAAGGTATATATCTGGGATTTGGCACAGTCTGTATCCGTGCACCAGAGTTTATTTTCCGTCTACCCTTTGAAGAAGGGCATGTTATCATACATCAAACAGTTACAATGTCAACTCTTTGAAGACCTTCAAGATTGTTAAAGTTTAACTTAACATGGTGTGCTCCAGTCCCCAACGTGATAGGTGAGACAGAAATATGGAGAAACAAATCCCAAGTACATTTGGAGTATGGATAAACTATGTACATTTTGCATTCATTACTTCTGCTGTACTATGGCTTTTGCACAATATTTCAAATATTCCAGTATTCTCTCTCATGGTTAATAATTTATAGACTAGATTTTAGTAACTAATGTAGACTTTACCTAACAGTATGATGTCACAGGCAGACTGTCATTAGTAAACTATAATAATAGCACAGTGTGATGTCACAGGCAGACTGTCATTAGTAAACTGTAATAATAGCACAGTGTGATGTCACAGGCAGACTGTCCTTAGTAAACTGTAATAGATAGCACAGTGTGATGTCACAGGCAGACTGTCCTTAGTAAACTATAATAGCAGAGTGTGATGTCACAGGCAGACTGTCCTTAGTAAACTATAATAGCAGCACAGTGTGATGTCACAGGCAGACTGTACTTAGTAAACTATAATAATAGCAGAGTGTGATGTCACAGGCAGACTGTCCTTAGTAAACTGTAATAGCTGCACAGTGTGATGTCACAGGCAGACTGTACTTAGTAAACTATAATAATAGCACAGTGTGATGTCACAGGCAGACTGTCCTTATTAAACTGTAATAGCTGCACAGTGTGATGTCACAGGCAGACTGTACTTAGTAAACTATAATAATAGCAGAGTGTGATGTCACAGGCAGACTGTCCTTAGTAAACTGTAATAGCTGCACAGTGTGATGTCACATGCAGACTGTCCTTAGTAAACTGTAATAATAGAACAGTGTGATGTCACAGGCAGACTGTCGTTAGTAAACTATAATAATAACAGAGTGTGATGTCACAGGCAGACTGTCCTTAGTAAACTATAATAATAGCAGAGTGTGATGTCACAGACAGACTGTCCTTAGTAAACTATAATAATAGCACAGTGTGATGTCACAGGCAGACTGTCCTTAGGAAACTATAATAATAGCACAGTGTAATGTCACAGGCAGACTGTACTTAGTAAACTATAATAGCAGAGTGTGATGTCACAGACAGACTGTCCTTAGTAAACTATAATAATAGCACAGTGTGATGTCACAGGCAGACTGTCCTTAGTAAACTATAATAATAGCACAGTGTGATGTCACAGGCAGACTGCACTTAGCAAACTATAATAATAGCAGAGTGTGATGTCACAGGCAGACTGTCCTTAGTAAACTATAATAATAGCACAGTGTGATGTCACAGGCAGACTGTCCTTAGTAAACTGTAATAGCTGCACAGTGTGATGTCACAGGCAGACTGTCCTTAGTAAACTGTAATAGCTGCACAGTGTGATGTCACAGGCAGACTGTACTTAGTAAACTGTAATAATAACAGAGTGTGATGTCACAGGCAGACTGTCCTTAGTAAACTATAATAATAACAGAGTGTGATGTCACAGGCAGACTGTACTTAGCAAACTATAATAATAGAACAGTGTGATGTCACAGGCAGACTGTCCTTAGTAAACTGTAATAGCTGCACAGTGTGATGTCACAGGCAGACTGTCCTTAGTAAACTGTAATAGCTGCACAGTGTGATGTCACAGGCAGACTGTACTTAGTAAACTGTAATAATAACAGAGTGTGATGTCACAGGCAGACTGTCCTTAGTAAACTGTAATAATAACAGAGTGTGATGTCACAGGCAGACTGTCCTTAGTAAACTATAATAATAACAGAGTGTGATGTCACAGGCAGACTGTACTTAGCAAACTATAATAATAGAACAGTGTGATGTCACAGGCAGACTGTCCTTAGTAAACTGTAATAGCTGCACAGTGTGATGTCACAGGCAGACTGTACTTAGTAAACTGTAATAATAGCAGAGTGTGATGTCACAGACAGACTGTCCTTAGTAAACTATAATAGCAGAGTGTGATGTCACAGGCAGACTGTACTTAGTAAACTGTAATAATAGCAGAGTGTGATGTCACAGGATGACTGTACTTAGCAAACTATAATAATAGCACAGTGTGATGTCACAGGCAGACTGTCCTTAGTAAACTATAATAATAGCATAGTGTGATGTCACAGACAGACTGTCCTTAGTAAACTGTAATAGCTGCACAGTGTGATGTCACAGGCAGACTGTCCTTAGTAAACTGTAATAATAGCAGAGTGTGATGTCACAGGCAGACTGTACTTAGTAAACTATAATAATAGCAGAGTGTGATGTCACAGGCAGACTGTCCTTAGTAAACTGTAATAGCTGCACAGTGTGATGTCACAGGCAGACTGTACTTAGTAAACTATAATAATAGCAGAGTGTGATGTCACACTGAGAGACCTCCTGGTGTGCTTCCTGAACCATGAGGCTAGATCAAAAGTGCTTCAAGCGACGAGAACCCACATGCACAAAATAAAATACCAGTGGAGGTGGCCTCGGGCACTCTTAATCCATCACGGTGACACATCGTACAAGATATAAAAATAAGAGAAAAGGGGGGAGCCAATGTAGTAACAATAAAGTAAGGATAGATACTAGGAGATTTATGAAAAAAATGGGGGGTAACTCTTAAATACTTAATTCAAATAAGAAAAAAAAATAAAATAAAATTCAAAATAAATCTCCAAAGTTCTATCTATGTGAGAATACGTAATAATTAAAACTTAACTTTTATTAATTTAGTAAAAAAAAGTGTGATGTATACACCTACAAACAGATGGAAAAAAATAAATGAAAAAAATATATAAATATATTGTATAAATTAATTATTTACAAGGTAGTTTCCACTTAAGAGGGCAGCAAAATGCTTTTAACCGCAATTAGTACCAAATGTAGTTATAGCACTAAGTGAGGAAATTGTAGTAAAGCCTCAATGTGGAAGAATGGGTATTAAACACTCTCCATATGTATGCTTTCAACTGTAAATTGCAAAACACTGCTTGATAAGGCAATAGAGAGTTAAGGGAAGGGTAGAGAGTATAGGTAGTCCTGATCTGGATATATAGTCCAAACTGAAGTGCCTTTGAGGGCACCCCTTATCCAAAATCTATTCTCTCACTAATATCCCACCTTGCCCAATACTCCAAATTAAATAAAAAACAGAAACTACATCACCTACAAGGGTTAATTGCAAGATTACTGCGGTAATGTCTAATATCATATGCTTCAGTAGTCTCTGATTGCCCAAGCCTCTATTAATCGGAGGAAAAATACATATAAGCGGAGACTAAATCAAGTATCGCTAGTGGTAGCTACGATGTCTATATCCGCCATTTGGTATGCGGCAATAGCAAACTGACATCTTAAAGGACCACTATAGGCACCCAGACTACTTCAACTTAATGAAGTGGTCTGGGTGCCAGGTCCCTCTAGGATTAACCCTTTCTGCTGTAAACATAGCAGTTTCAGAGAACCTGCTATGTTTACAAATGGGTTAATCCAGCCTCTAGTGGCTGTCTCATTTACAGCCATTAGAGGCGCTTCCGCGCTTCTCACTGTGATTTTCACAGTGAGAAGACGCCTGCGTCCATAGGAAAGCATTGAGAATGCTTTCCTATGAGACTGGCTGAATGCGTGCGCGGGTCGTGCCTCGCATGCGCATTCAGCCGATGACGGGAAAGGAGGAGAAGAGTCCCCAGCGCCGAGGGAGCCCGGCGCTGAAAAAAAGGTAAGGAATTAACCCCTTCCTCCCCCTAGAGCACGGTGGGGGGTGGGGGGGGGGACAGAGGGTGAGCGGAACCCAAGGACCATATAGAGCCAGGAAAACTAGTATGTTTTCCTGGCACTATAGTGGTCCTTTTAGGTAAATTTGAAAGCTACCAGAGCCCCTGTGCTGTCCTCTTTAGTGGAAACTACCTTGTAAATAATTTATTTATACAATATATTTATATATTTTTTTCAAGACCCTAGATATGCAGGGCGCCACAAATCTCCTACCAACCCTGGGGCTACAACAGGACTCTCTGTCTGCGGCGGGACTAAACCAACCAGGGTTACACCGTTCGTCCGCCAAGACCTGAAGAAACCAGGGACTAATACCTACCTCCTAACAGCCCTCTTGTTACACGGGCATGACTTCTGTGGCTCTCTGGACTCCTCTCTCCCCGATGTTTATGTTTGCAAATATACAGCATAAGAGCACTGCAACAACATTCCCCCTCTTTCTCCCCTCCCCCCAGTCCCCGGGGTTAAGGGGTTTCACTCCAAACAGGAGCACATATTTTAAAAGCCCACACCACAGAGCACACGCTCCCCATACAACCCAGTCTGCCACACTGACCATAACATTCTTATAACACTATAAGCACACTCAGCCTATTCGCCTTTAGCAACACTGAACCCCGAGGCCCCCGGGTCAAACCCTTGGGCACACTGACACGTGCTATCTTACACTACCCAAAACTAAATTCCCTCAGCTCCTGGTCCAATGCCACTCCTTGCTAGATATCATACCTGTTATGCTATTCCATAAGTGTTTAATGACATGCAAAAGTTGGTTTTCTTATGTAATATTTTTAATGTGACCTTAATATGACTTGAGTAGAAAATAAAGAATAAAAAAAAAAAAAAGTTAGAAATTGCTTTGCATGACAATGAGTGAAATAAGTATTTGACCCCTTCGACTTAGTTCTTGGTGGCAAAACCCTTGTTGGCAATCACAGAGGTCAGACGTTTCTTGTAGTTGGCCACCAGGTTTGCACACATCTTTGTCCCACTCCTCTTTGCAGATCCTCTCTAAGTCATTAAGGTTTAAAGACGTACATTTGGTAACTGGAACCTTCAGCTCCCTCCACAGATTTTCTATGGGATTAAGATCTAGAGACTGGCTAGGCCACTCCAGGACCTTAATGTGCTTCTTCTTAGGCAACTCCTTTGTTGCCTTGGCTGTGTGTTTTGGGTCACTGTCATGCTGGAGTACCCATCCACGACCCATTTTCAATGTCCTGGCTGAGGGAAGAAGTTCTCACCCAAGATTTGATGGTACATGGCCCTGTCCATCGTCTCTTTGATGCGGTGCAATTTTCCTGTCGCCTTAACAAAAAACACCCCCAAAGCATAATGTTTTCACCTCCATGTTTGACGGTGGGGATGGTGTTCTTAAGGCCATAGGCAGCATTCCTCCTCCTCCAAACACAGTGAGTTCAGTTGATGCCAAAGAGCTTGATTCTGCAAACCAAACGAAATTCGTTAAAAAATAATTTGTTTTCATCCATTTGGACAAAAACAGCACTGCGCATGCGCAAAAAAATAAATTGAAAAAAGCAAGGAGGGAGACGGCAGCGCTACCAGCTCCCTCCTTGTAACATTAACCATTCAACCCCTCTCTCGACCCTAATTTAGTAAATAATAGTGGGGGACCTAATAGCTGTCTAGTCACTAGTAATGGTTTAGGTGAGGGGATATAAGCAGTAGGGAGGCCAGGTCCCCCCTTATTGCACTAGCGACTGGGCAGCAATAGCTGCCCAGTGACTAGTACTTTAAAATTTGTTTAGATGACATGCACCTACTCGCAGCATGCCACGAGTAGGGGCATGCAGTAGGATTTAATCTCCCTTTTATTAATATGAGGGTCGTAGTGAGTGACCCCCATAGGTTAATGTGTGAGGGGGGTAAAATGGTTGTTTGTTACAAGGAGGGAGCTGCTAGCGCTGCCGGCTCCCACCTTGCGTTTTTTTGTCCAATAAACGAAAGAACCGAAATGAAAAGACAATGCATTTGGCATTTTCCCTTTTGTTTTGTTTCTTTTTCATATGTAAAACTTTCGTTTACGTTTCGGTAAATGAATACGAAAAAACCTGAATTTTCATATGGATTGCTGTAGTTCGAAAACAAATGCACACGTCTAGTCCCTGACATCCTTGGACAGCTCTTTGGTCTTGGCCATGGTGGAGAGTTTGGAATCTGATTGATTGATTGCTTCTGTGGACAGGTGTATTTTATACAGGTAACGAGCTGAGATTAGGAGCACTCCCTTTAAGTGCTCCTAATCTCAGCTCATTACCTGTATAAAAGACACCTGGGAGCCAGAAATCTTGCTGACTGATAGGGGATCAAATACTTATTTCACGCATTGACATGCAAATCAATTTATAACTTTTTTGACGTGTTTTTAATAGTTGTACAGTAGTGGTGTCACACGTAGACTGTACTAAGTAAAATAGAAAAGCTGCAAACAGAGTGTGGTGTCAAAGGTAGTCTGTACGAAGGAAACCATACACTGCTCGGCCACAATGTTAAAACCATCAGCCTAATATCATGTCAGTCCCCCTCATGCTGCCAAAAGAGCTCTGATGTGCCAAGTCATGGACTCCACAAGACCTCTGAACGTGTCCTGCGGTATCTGGCACCCAAACATTAGCAGCAGATTCTTTAAGTCCTGCAAACTGTGAGGCGGGTTCTCCATGGATCGGATTTGTTGTTCCAGCACAGCCTACAAATGCTTAATTGGATTGAGATCTGTGGAATTTGGAGGCCAAGGCAACACCCTGAACTCTGCCGTTTTCCTCAAACGATTCCTGAACAATTTTTTGCAGGTTGGCCGGTTGCATTATCCTGACGAAAGAGGCCACTGCCATCAGGGAACACCATTGTCCTGAATGGGGTTTAATACGTGGACTGCAACAATCTCTAGTCAGGTGGTATGTGTCAAATTAACATCCACAAGAATGCCAGGACCCAAGGTTTCCCAGCAGAGCATAGCACCTTGTTTAGAGCATAACACCTTTTTCCCATAATGCATTCTGCTGCCACCTCCTCGCCAGGTGAAAAATGCACACATACCTGGCTATCCACCTAACCTAAAAAAAATGGCATTCATCAGACCAGGCACAATACTTCCATTGCTCCATTGTCCAGTTCCGATGCTCATGTCTCAATTGAAGGCACCTTCTCCAGTGGACAGGGGTCATCATGGACACTCTGACCGGTCTGCACCTATGCAGCCCCATACGCAGCAAACTGTGATGCACTGTGTGTTCTGACACTTTTCTATCATGGCCAGCATTATGTTTTTCAATTTGAGCTACAGTAGTTCTTCTGTGTGATTGGACCAGACAAGCTAGCCTTCGCTCCCCACATACATCAATGAGCCCTGGGCGCCTATGACCCTGAATCTGGTTCACCGATTGTCCTTCCTTGCACCACTTTTGGTAGGTACTAACCACTGCATACCGGGAACACTCCACAAGGGCGGGGGTGAGAATTAAAGTTTTTGGCACCCAAATTGGATAGTGAAATTTGGATAGTGAACATTGCAAGTGCCTATACAGTCAATGAAGTGATCCAAGAACAAGTAGATAACTGAATTCCAGACTATTTTTTTATTTTTTTTTAAATTCTTTATTTTTGCAACGGTATTGAGTAGACAATGTAAAGAGTTTGGCTCGTGCAAGAGCATTCCAATAGAACATAAACATGCCAGGTACATATGAAGAGTGTTTCAGGTAATTTCAACATTTCTACTTTCATCCGTTGTTGTTAGTGTTATTGTTTCAACAAGAACAGTATGAGAAGAAAACAAAAACAGATACAAATGTAAAATAACTGAACTGCGGGCCGGGATACTGGTCATCTCGGTCCAACGGTTGTGGTCCGGGTGGGGGGAGTGAGGGTGAGGTAGGGTGGAGGGGGGTAAGGGGAGGGTTTACTGCAGTCTATCGTTCGCGTTTGCGTCTCCTTTCTGCTATGTGGTCTCTATTGGTCTTATTGGTCACTATAGGTCTCCCACGGTTCCCACGTCTTAGTAAAAGCTTTGGTTGTGCCCCTAATTTGGGCCGTGAGTTTGTCCATTAAGTGGCATTCTTTGATTTTGTTGATCACTATTGCTACTGAGGGGGTGTCCTGTTGTAGCCAGATCTGGGCTACCGCTCTTCTGGCCGCTAAGGTTATTTTGTTAAACAGATGTTGGTTTGGTTTGGACCAATTCTCCTGGGGTCTGGCCAGCAGGAACGTCCATGGGTTAAGTGTCACTGGCCTATCAAATATTTGGGTCATGAAGGTTTGAATGGCCTTCCAGTAGATTTTAATCTTAGGGCAGTGCCACCACATATGGGTATACGTCCCTCTCTCCCCGCAATTGCGCCAACAGAGGTCTGTGGGTGTCTTTTTCATATGGTATAGCTGAACAGGGGTGGTATACCACCTGAACATCGTTTTGTAGGCCTGCTCTTGCATCGTGACACAAATAGAAGTTTTAGCATTGGCCTGCCATATGTCCTGCCAGTCTATTCCCTCTAAGGTTTCCCCAAGGTCGGTTTCCCACTTGTCTGTGTAGTGGAGGGTGCCCCAATCCCGTGTAGTGGAGCAGAGATGGGAGTACAAGAGGGAGATCAATCCCTTTTGGTAGCGTTCGGCCAGGCATATGTTTTCAAAGAATGTTGGTTTAGCTATAGCAGATCTTTTAACAGATTCTTGGGTAGCATAGTGTCTTAGCTGGAGGTACCTAAAGAAATCTGCAGGGGTTAGGGTTGTTCTGGTTTGTAATTCCGCGAAAGTGATTATGTCGTGCCATGTGTAGAGTTGATGAACTCTTTGTAGGTCTGCATTTTCTAGTCCCCTGAAGTCTCTAGGTCTCATGCCTGGAATAAATGCCCTATTTCGGTATATGGGGGTGAGGGGGGAGGACGATGTTGTTAGTTCATATTTTGTGGCATATTTGTCCCAGATGTGGATCGAATTTGTAATAGCTGGGCAGGTAGTCCTTAAAAGTGCTCTGTGCTCTTTCGGGGTCCATATGTAAAACTGTGGAAGGTCTGATTTCATAATCAGGGATTCCTGGTCCACCCATCTCCTGGTTTCCGGAGGGGCGTGCCACATCGCTATTTGTGTTAAGTGGGCTGCAATGTAGTAGAAATGTATGTGTGGTAGGCCTAATCCCCCTCTGGGTTTGGGGCGATATAGGATGTTACGGGCCACTCTGTGCCTTTTGTTGTGCCAGATAAAGCGATCAATGGCCTGCTGTAAAGGCTTTAGGTCCTGTTTCGTTATGGGGATGGGCAAGGCCTGGAATAGGAAAAGGATACGGGGCAGAATGTTCATCTTTACTGAGTGTATCCTGCCGATCCAGGATATGGGTTTATCCGCCCAGGTCTCCATGTCCGTTATGAGTTTAGTGATTAGTGGGGAGTAGTTAAGTTGGTGTAGTTTCGTGAGATCTGCCGGTAGTTTTATGCCGATGTAGGAGAGGTAGGTCGGTGCCATGCGTATGTGATAGTCTGACGTGATTTGGGTGGTCTCATTCCGTGCGAGTAGTATTGGGAGTGCGCTGGATTTCTCCATGTTGACTTTGTAGCCTGATATTGCACTATAGTTTTGCAAGAGGGGCATCAGTGCGCGCATGGAGCGGATGGGGTTAGTTAATGTGATGAGAACGTCATCCACATATGCGGAGACTAGGAACTCTTGGTCTGTTATCTTTACCCCCGTAATTTCGGGGTGTTCTCTGATCGCCTGTAGAAGGGGTTCGAGTGTTAGTGCGAAAAGTAACGGGGATAGGGGGCAGCCCTGTCTGGTACCATTATAGATGTTAAATCGTGGGCTGTTTGACCCGGTCAGCTGTATTTGGGCTGTCACGTCTGTGTATAGTGCCCGTACTGCTGTGATGAAAGTGGGGGGTATGTTTAAGTGTTCTAGCAGCGTGAACATGTATGGCCAGTTCACCCTGTCGAACGCCTTTTCAGCGTCTAGGGAAAGGGCAATCGCTGATGTGTTGGTTGTAGTGAGTGTCCATATTACGTCTATATTCCGTCTGGTATTTTCAAATAACTGTCTGCCGGGGATAAACCCGACCTGGTCTGCGTGGATGAGTCGTGTGAGGTGCGGGTTTAGTCTTGTCGCCAGTATTTTTGCCAGGATTTTACTATCATGGTTTATTAGTGAGATGGGTCTGTATGCTTCTGGTAGGGTGTAGTCCTTGTCTGGTTTGGGTAGGAGTATGATATGTGCTTGTGTCATGTCTTTGGTAGGAGGGGTCCCCTCGAGTAGTTCGCGGAATAAGGTCTCCATGTGTGGGAGTAATACCTCTCGAAAGGTTTTGTAATAGCTCCCCTCGTAGCCGTCAGGGCCCGGGGCTTTGTTGCTCTTCAAGGAGGATATGGCCATATTGATTTCGTCTGTGGTGATTGGGGCTGATAATTCCTCTATGGCTGCGGTATGGAGTTTGGGTAGGTTGAGGCGCGCTAAAAATTCCGATGTCCTCTGGCAGGCTGTCTGAGTGGGTGTTGGGCCTTGGGGGGTGTGGTTGTATAGGGCTTCATAATAGGAGGTAAAGGTCTGCGCTATCTCTGTTGGTGTGGTCTTCATGGTGCCGTCGGGGGCTCGTATGGATGTAATGTGGGGGCGTTGCGTTCTGGGACGGAGTGTAGGTGTTGTAATGTTTGCGGATTCGGGTCCGTTTTGTGGCTCTGCTCCGCTTTACGGAGGGTATCTAGTAGCTGGGTGAGTTTTTGGGTTTTCAATTTCTTCCTGTGTGTCGCTATTTTGATGAGGTGTCCTCGAATGATGGCTTTGTGCGCTGCCCAAACAACAGTCATCGGGACATCTGGCGTCAGATTTTCTGTGAAATATGTTTGTAGTTGTGTTTGTATCTCAGCTACAACTAGTGGGTCATTGAGAAGAGAGGTGTTGAGCCTCCATGTCCATGGGGTGGGACTATGTAGGCCTTCCAGATAGATTGCTATGTCTGCGTGGTCTGACCAGGCTATAGTGCCTATTTCTGTTTTTTGAGTTTTAGTGAAGCCTATTTGGTTGGTCAGAAAAATGTCAATGCGGGAGGTGTCGTGGGGGGCAGAGTAATAGGTATAATCTTTATGGCTGGGGTGTTGTGCCCTCCACGCGTCTACGAGTCCTGTTTTACGTATGAAGTCGTTGAGTTGTTTGTCTTGTCCTCCTCCAGACTATTTTAAGGCCACTTTTGTTGGCTAGATTTTTGTGGAGTACTTGGCAACACTGCTCATTGCATTAGCTGCACCGCCTGAGAATTTGCAGTAATTAAAGGATCTCCAAATGAATGATGATTGCCCATTTCCAGAGTGAATAAAAATCCTTCCTTAAAATTAACGTGTGGTTGACAGGTACTCTGCAGACCTTGCACAGTAGTGTTTTAATTACCTTTGTGCAGCCCTGAGCTCACTTCTCCGAAAGTCAAAGTTTAAAACATTCCGTCATTACGGAGCACTCATTAACAGCATAGTCTGCATTTGTTGAATTCCCATTAAATCTTTAAAAAATGCACAGTCTAGCTGAAAGTCCATCATTGCCAAGTTTGTCTTAATGCAATGCCTGATTAATGTCAGAAGGCAGTACCTGGGCGTTTGTGGGTTGTATTTGTGTGGGGTTTTTTTTTTTTTTTTTTGCAGTCTAGTCTATGCAGCTGAACGAAAAAGTAACAGAGAAAAAAAAAAGTGATTTCTATCTCATCTCTTCCCAGCAGTTCTGTTTGTGCGACCGGTTGCTGTTCAGCGTAAAGGAAGTGACTGTCATTTAGTGAAGAAAAACTTCTGTGGACAAGGAGGGGGCCACCAGAGCAGACACTGGCACCAATAACACACCTGTGAAAAGGTAAGCTGGCTTTAAGGAGTTTAACATAGGCTCTCAATCACTGGCAGTGTACTCTATATCTGCATGTGTGCTTAGTGTGCAAGAGGCGTGCAACCCAGCAGGATCTGGACTGCTAGAGGTGACATTTCCTCTGGCTGCAAACTTGTATTTTATACCATACCGTGTTGGGGGAAGGGTGACATTTCATTATGGGAAAAAGAAAAAGAAAAGAAAAATACAGAAAATAACTAAATAATCCTAAACCAAGCTCTCATTTATGGTTGATTTATTAATAATTGTTGGAGATTAAACTAATGTGGAGCCAGGGTTGACTCTCTAAAATATCTGTCTGTCATCTTTTTTGTAAGATTTTTCTAAAGGTGATTTTAATTAGATTATTTTTATTGTTAGCAACCATGCAGCAAAATGAAGCATTACAAGAGAATACAACCAAGAATAATACGAAACAAAAAAAAAATTTATATAGAGAAATAAAGACGTGTTTGAAACTGTTCATATAACATTTTCACATGCATCCGTATTTCTAGTTTCTATACATGCCAGAATTTAAGTAAAGCAAATGTAAATGTTTAATAAACCTATTGTGCTAAAGTACAGCGTCAGATAAACAGAGAGACTTGGATCACTTCCATTTCTTTTGAGGCACCTGATATATAAATAATATTAATTTATAATGTACTGCAAGCGCCATGACCTCGTATTAGGCCACAAGTCTACAGTGGCATGATGGAGTTTTGGATTTTATTTTGAACATAATTGGAGAGAAGAATGTCGAATGGGTAAATTTGGAACCTGCTGTGGTTGTGGAACCTTGTGGTTATGCCAAGCCTTGCTGTGGCGGGTACTTAACCCAGTCTCCATGTGAGATTCCGTATATCGCGTTAGTCACAGTTGGTAAAAATTCCACTGACTCAAATCACAATGCTTCACATTGGCAGGTGCAGTATCCCATCTAAAGGGAGTAATATGTCTTGTGATAGAGAACGTTGGCAGCTTGATACTGGTGCAGGCAACACGTCACCTATCTGCATTAGAGCTAGGCTGGGCGAGAAACCAAAGTAATCGGTTTACTCAGCACAAGTGATGCAATTTTCATTTAGCTTCTGGAACCGAAGCAAACCTTTTTGAAATTCTAAAGATAAATCACTCTTCCTTGTTGAATCCATGCCATGGGAAGACTTTTCTTCCAACATCCGCTTTAAGAGTTGGTGCATCTCATTCTGCAGCAGCCCAGCTATAGCCAGCACCGGCTACCCTGCTGCAGCCCTTACCGAGGGCAGATATGCAGGATTTGTCACTCCGTAATTTTCTTTAAATACTTTGCTTATAATAATACGGGATTTACTAATGGTATTTCCTTAGGCACAAAGTAGTGATGAGCACCATGAAGAGATCTCTGTATAATTGTTGCTTTTATCATATTATTAAGTTGGGTTTGCATTGTTGCTGCATAGCCCTGCTTACACCTATAGAAAATCAGTGAAGAAATAGCCCTGTTACATTGTAGCAGCCCAGTTTATATCTATAGGACATCACTTACAATGTAAAATATATATTTCAGGTTTTAACGTGCGTGAGAGAACAGTGAGATAGCAGTATAATCCTTTGAAAGCTAATATATTTTGTATTTTTTATTTAAATCAGCGTTCAATTTGAAGAATATTGGGACAGAAAGAACATGAGGACCTTTCCAAGCTGGGATTGGGTGAGTGCTGATTCCAAACTACTACCATGTGGTGCCATACATGACTCACAGCTCACATCATCCTCAGCCACAGCTGTTATATTCTATGTTATTTCTTTATAACGGGTTTTCTCATTCTGTTTTCAATGTAGAAGAAATGTAAGATTTGGTCATTATTGTTCGATCAGAGCACTTTAGAAATCCTTAAACCTTTTGGCTAAAGAAATGATTCCACATGAAAGGGTGATCAATGGATTAAATGTGCTTTTAATATATTGTACATATACTATTATAAGTTGTTGTGCAAACATTTAATGTCCATATTTATTTAGTGTAAAAGATATTTATTTATTTTTTGGTTAATTGCCATCTGTGTGTTGTGAGCTGCTGTGTTCCCTCCGGTGTGAGCTGCACATTGTACAGACAGCAGTTGGTCCGCCTCAGTGCTGCCATCAGAAATTTTGAGGCCCCTTACACAGTTCAAGGCCTGTGCCCCTGGGGCTCGCCCCGAGTTCTTCACAGGGTCCAACCCATGAGTCTGTCCCAACAAGGAAGAGTAAAGAGGATGCAGTGTGTGTGTTTGTGTGTGTGTGTAGTGGATGCAGTGTGTGTGTAGTAGATGCAGTGTGTGTGTGTAGAGGGGATGCAATGTTTGTAGTGGATGCAGAATGTGTTTGTGTTAGTTTGTGGCGTTGGAGGGCTATGGGAGGGTGAGCAGTTTTTTTAAAAAATGTATAATTAAGTTTAACTGGCCACAGGTAAGAGGCAGTGAGGGGGACACACTAGATTCCCTGGTGATCCAGTGGCACAGCAGCTTGTATGTGAAGAGAGGGGCATAGCAGACTTCATCATCCACCTCCAGCCAGGCGTCAGGTACTCGTCTTCTCTCATGAATTTGGCATGCACGCAACCCAAGGCAATGCTCTGACAGCTGCAGCTCGCAAGAGGACACTGTGGGGGTGAATTCTGGTGTCTCCTGGGCCGTATGCCCCCACTTCACTATATAGGCTAGTAGGGACCTGCAGATGCATTTATATATAGCGATACTTGGTGTGTGTATGTATATATATATATATATATATATTATATGCACAATGGGGGTATAGGGGCCGGATGGTCGGGACCCCATACAGCTGTAATGGCTGTACCCCCCTAATGGCGGCCCTGGTCTGTCTAACTGTTTGGTTTAAACCCCCCACAATATATTTTACACTAAACAGTTATGGCCGTTCAATGACGACGCTATAGATTCTCATGTGCTATAATTTGCTTTTTCCCTACATTCAACAGTGACTGATTCATTGCAGAATTGTATTAAATAGTAAACTGGGCTCACATGTAATCACAATATTTGTAAACTGAATCCATGAAGCTCACCTTACAGCGGACTGCGGCATTTTTTATAGCTTGTTTATTGAGAAATCTTTTAGCTTGTTATCCATACTTTGCAGGTTTAGAGCCCTTTACTCGATGGTTAAACTTGCCTTCCAAATAAAGCATATAAACTGCTTACAGGAAACTGAATTTTTGCACATATGTCGAGCAATGTTTGCAGGACTTTCCATCACGGTAGAGAGTTTCTTGAAAGTGTGGTTTGTGGTTTCTGAGGCTGGCTCTTTCTGTATCTTTTTTGGCTGATATTCGTTTAAAGCTTTGTATTATGTTATTGCAGTGACTTATCAGATATGGAGTTTTGTAGAGGTGCTATACAGAATGTAAAGGATCAGGGTCTGTCTGCATAGAGTTAGAGCTTTTATTAGGGAGTAATAATAAAGAAATACAAAAAGGCAGTTTAAAATATAGTAACTGTTGTTTGATCTCCTAATCTACTGACCTACTGTTACATCCTGCACTACACGTCACATCCAGAACAAACAGAACAAATTAGCTGACCTGACAACTTCATAGATACTCTTTCATTCCATCCTCCCAAGCACCCACTCAGTACATTCAGCTTCTCACTACATTCCTACAGGCACCTTCTTAGTACATTCATTCAATACATTCCTACAGGCACATTCTCGGTGCATCCCTACAGGCACCTTCTCAGTACATTCCTTTAGGCACCTTCTCAGTAAATTGCTACAGGTACCTTTGCAGTGGATTGCTACAGGTACCTTCTCAGTACATTCCTGCAGGTACCTTCTCAGTACATTACTTCAAGACATTCCTACAGGCACCTTCTCTGTACATTCCTACAGGCACCTTCTACAGGCACATTCTCGGTACATCCCTACAGGCACCTTCTCGGTGCATCCCTACAAGCACCTTCTCAGTACATCCCTACAAGCACCTTCTCGGTACATTCCTACAGACACCTTCTCAGTACATCCCTACAGGCACCTTCTCGGTACATTCCTACAGGCACCTTCTCAGTGCATCCCTACAGGCACATTCTCAGTACATTCATACAGTTACCTTCTCAGTACATTCCTACAGGTACCGTCTTGGTACATTCCTTCAGGCACCTTCTCAGTACATCCTTACAGGCACCTTCTTGGTACATCCCTAAAGGCACTTACTCGGTACATTCCTACAGACACCTTCTCAATACATTCCTTCAATATATTCCTACAGGCACCTTCTCTGTACATTCCTACAGGTACCTTCTCGGCACATTCCTACAGGCACCTTCTCAGTAAATCCCTACAAGCCCCTTCTCGGTACATCCCTACAGGCACCTTCTCGGTACATCCCTACAGGCACCTTCTCGGTACATCCCTACAGGCACTTTCTCGGTACATTCCTACATGCACCTTCCCGGCACATTCCTGCAAGTACCTTCTCAGTACATTCCTTCAATACATTCCAACAGGCATCTTCTCGGTACATTCCTACAGGTACCTTCTTGGTACATTCCTACAGGCACATTCTCAGTACATACCTACAGGCACCTTCTTGGTACATTCCTACAGGTACTTTCTACAGGCACATTCTCAGTACATCCCTACGAGCACCTTCTCGGTACATTCCTACAGGCACCTTCTCAGTACATCCCTACAGGCACCTTCTCGGTACATCCCTACAGGCACCTTCTCAGTACATCCCTACAGACACCTTCTCAGTGCATCTCTACAGGCACATTCTCGGTACATTCCTACAGGCACATTCTCAGTACATCACTACAGGTACCTTTTCAGTACATTCCTACAGGCACCTTCTCAGTACATCCCAGAGGCACATTCTCAGTACATCCCTACAGGTACCTTCTCAGTACATCCCTACAGGCACCTTCTCAGTACATCCCTCCAGGCACCTTCTCAATGCATTCCTAGAGGCGCCTTCTCAGTACATAACTTACAGGCACCTTCTCGGTACATTCCAATAGGCACCTTCTCAGTACAATCCTACAGATACCTTCTTGGTACATTCCTATAGGTTCCTTCACAGTACATCGCTACAGACACCTCCTCGGTGCATTCCGACAGGGACCTTCTCTGTACATTCCTACAGGTACCTTCTCGGTACATTCCTACAGGCACATTCTCAGTACATACCTACAGGCACCTTCTCGGTACATTCCTACAGGTACTTTCTACAGGCACATTCTCAGTACATCCCTACAAGCACCTTCTCGGTACATTCCTACAGACACCTTCTCAGTACATCCCTGCAGACACCTTCTCAGTGCATCTCTACAGGCACATTCTCGGTACATTCATACATGCACTGTCTCAGTACCTTCCTACAGGCACATTCTCAGTACATCACTACAGGTACCTTTTCAGTACATTCCTACAGGCACCTTCTCAGTGCATCCCTACAGGCACCTTCTCAGTACATCCCAGAGGCACATTCTCAGTACATCCCTACAGGTACCTTCTCAGTACATCCCTACAGGCACTTTCTCAGTACATCCCTACAGGTACCTTCTCAGTACATACCTAGAGGCGCCTTCTCAGTGCATTCCTACAGATACCTTCTTGGTACATTCCTATAGGGTTCTTCACAGTACATCCCTACAGACACCTTCTCAGTGCCCTACAGACACCTTCTCAGTGCATTCCTACAGGCACCTTCTCAGTGCATTCCTACAGGCACCTCCTCAGTGCCTTCTTATAGGTACCTTTTCAGTACAGGCCTACAGGCACTTTCTCCGTACATTCCAACAGGCACCTTCTCGGTACATTCCAACAGGCACCTTCTCAGTACATTCCTACAGGCACATTCTCAGTGCATTCCTACAGGTACCTTATCAGTACATCCCTGCAGGCACCTTCTCAGTGCATTCCTAGAGACACCTTCTCAGTACATTCCTACAGGCACATTCTCAGTGCATTCCTACAGGTACCTTATCAGTACATCCCTGCAGGCACCTTTTCAGTGCATTCCTAGAGGCACCTTCTCAGTACATTCCTGCAGGCACCTTCTCAGTGCATTCCAACAGGCACCTTCTCAGTGCATTCCTACAAGCACATTCTCAGTGCATTCCTACAGGTACCTTCTCAGTACATTCCTACAGGCACATTCTCAGTTCATTCCTACAGGTACCTTCTAAGTACATTCCTACAGGCACATTCTCAGTTCATTCCTACAGGTACCTTCTCAGTACATTCCTACAGGCACATTCTCAGTTCATTCCTACAGGCACCTTCTCAGTACATTCCTACAGGCACATTCTCAGTGCATTCTTACAGGTACCTTCTCAGTGCATTCCAACAGGCACCTTCTCAGTGCATCCCTACAGGCACATTCTCAGTGCATTCCTACAAGCACATTCTCAGTGCATTCCTACAGGTACCTTATCAGTACATCCCTGCAGGCACCTTTTCAGTGCATTCCTAGAGGCACCTTCTCAGTACATTACTTACAGGCACCTTCTTGGTACATTCCCATAGGCACCTTCACAGTACATCCCTACAGACACCTTCTCAGTGCATGCCTGCAGGCACCTTCTCAGTGCCTTCTTATAGGTACCTTTTCAGTACAGGTCTACAGGCACTTTCTCTGTACATTCCTTCAGGCACCTTCTTAGTACATTCCTCTATTGCCTGAGGCTTGCCAAGGTTCCTAAGCTTTGTTTGTTTGTGTTGACAGCTGTACAAACTGCTCAGGATTTAAAGTGGTGGACAGGATGAAAGAATGGGCATCAGGCTGTCTTGCTTGAAAGGTAAGAAACACGGAATCAAATTTAGAATTCACATCATTATCTAAACTCTGAATTGTAGTGAAATTGAAAACCAAATTGCAAGTTATAGGCAAAAATAGCCACACTTAGACTATAGCTGAGTAGAGGAATGTGTCCAGTTGCTGTCTAAGCCCCCCTTGTGTTGTAGAACGCATATACTCTCCAAATATTAATGATACAATAAAGGCATCGCTGTTAGTTTGTTTGTATTGTTCATTCCTTACACGTGACCGCACGTGGCAATATTCCCAGATTGTGGCTTACAAGACAATGTAATTGCCTATAGTAAAATAAAACAGGTTTCCATGCTGCTGTACGAGTAAAGTGGCTCGTTTTGTTAGGAACATGAAAAGAAATGTATTTGTTCGGTGCCGCACATAAAACACTTTAAAGGGCTGCCAGGTAGGGGCTCTTACTAACAATCCACCTTTAATTTAAAATTGTAAATCATAATAAATCGTGACTAGCATTGCTTGGTAAACATGGCCTATAGACAGCTACATTCTTATACCTTCTCATGTTATTCTGATGTTTTCTAAAAATGTTGGAAGATGAAGGTTTTGCCCCAAAAAGCTGTAGGCTATGACTGTTGCACGAGATTTGCTCAATTTAGAGGGTTTTTGCAGCGTTTGGCAGTAGTCGGATACCTGTGACATGCTCAGGAAATACTGTCCCCCCCACCCCTCCCCCTTATGTACATATGGCAGGGTGACAAGGCCAAATACACACCTCATAACACGCATGTGTGGCTTTTCTGCAAAATAATGCAAAACAAATTCTGGCCCATGAATATGTAAGAGGAAAGGGATAACTTTTGGAAAACACGCACAAAAATACATTGTTAATGGTACTGGATATGTCAAGCACATAGTGATAGGTATACGAAGGTATAAATTAATAAATATGGGATAAAATAAAATGTTCCATCAGCCTTTTCACATATAATTCTATTCACTTTCAGCTACTGGTGTTTTCTATATAAAACAAGTCATATAATTTCCTTTTGACTTTGGGAGGTCCATAAATATTTGGACAGAGACACTCGGTATGTTCTTTTGGCCCTGTACATCAACTCACTGTCAGTGAAATAAAACAATGAGCAAGAGGGTAACGTGTAGACTGTCCACTTTAGTTTTTATTGTGGTAAATTCTACAAACTGTACCTAGGGTACTTTGTATGTATATCTACCGTCTCCTTTTTTTAGAGGACCAAAACTATTTGGACCAATTAACACAAAAAGTATAAATGATAAAAGAACCAGATATACGGATCTATATCACGACCAAGGGCTTTGTATACTTTCTTTTTTCTTGTTGGTGTAGTGGTTGGTGCCGGGCATTTATTCCCTGGTCTTACAATAGTACTGCCTTATTATATTGTATATACTTTTTCATTGAGAGTTTTTAATGTTTTATTATTGTGCATTCCAAGTCTATTCCCACAATAAAGCCTTGCTATATTTTAATATATTACATTTTGAAATCCTATTTTTACTTTCTTTATATCACTGTATCTTTAGTGTCTAGCGCCCTATCTGGTGGGTTATATATCCATCTTTTCTCCAATTAACACAAGCCTAGAATTGTCCTGTTTCATTCTTGGTTGCAGATTCTTTGCATTTGATGGTTGCTTGAAGTAGGTTATCCGTAGATCTAATCAGATACATGGTATCCTCTTTGATGATACTCCGTCAGTCTCGCTCTGCAGCCCACTTTCACAGCTTGTTTGAGTCACAAGATTTTTCTTTTGAGTCATCTGTTGCCCAACTTGGCAAGTCAAGAACATACAACCTTTTCTGACGTAAAACTAATTACATGTTTAGATGTTTGCTGCTTGTTGAGGCACAATCCCAACAGACTGCAAAGACAGTTGCCTCCCCTAAAACCAGCTCTAGAACTTTTTGTTGATGTTAATGCTCTCTGTATCGGAAGTGTACACTGGTGTCTGCAGAATAGTGTCCTTTAAGATAGCATAGTCTGCTACATCAAACATTAAATATAATAGACTGCGTGTTCTGCCAAATGAGTGTAAACTCTCACCTTTTCCCAACATATCGGCTTGCAGTGTTTGTAACAGTTTAATCACAGGTTTGACTTAGTCCCTGTTTGCACAAATATAAGACAAAATGAAAAAAAAATGAAAATCTGTCTTTGGGAAGGTGAGGAGATTATCATCTAATGTTTCAATCTGAAGTTTTTATTAGATACACTGGAAGAAAATGACAGTGGATCTATATACCGAAGATGTAACAGAAATCGCTACAGTTTCCATACTAGGTGTTAGGTGTCTCGTTGGTTCCTCTTGGAAGTGAAATACAATGGGTGGAGGAATGGTTTAACGTTCCTGCAATAGGTGCAGTGATGGTCCTGACCCATTTTATGAATATATTTTCACAATATATGTGCTATTGCTGCCATATACACCCTGATGCTAACTTCTCTAGGGCCAGAGAAGTTAGTATCAGCCCCTATCGTGCAACAGTCATAGCCTACAACCCAAGCTTCACTCTTACTAAAGGCAAGGCCTACTCTATATAAACTGTGATACAATGCTTGCATTTCTGTAAAATATATCTAGAGGTTTAACAGCTATTCTTATGTTTCCTTTCATCCAGGCAGACATGTTTGTAGCCCTAATGAAGATGCTCCAATAGAAATTTCCAACATCCACCTTAAAGTTCCTGATATTATTGTGACTCCTCCAACACCCACCGGCACATTGAGTTCTAGAAGTGCTGGGCAACAATCAGAATCAGACACCGACGAAAACCTCTGTTGTTGATTTATTTCGGGGAAATGGAGACTCAGAGCACCGTTTACTGTGAAACCTGCAAAACATACAGTTACTATCCTGGAATAAAATATCCACACTACCAAACTTCATCGAACTCTACAAGTCAAGGTCCGGATGTGATGTCTTCACAAGCTTCATCGTCTTTAATATAGTCATACGCACTTTAAAACAAAAATCACAAAGATTTAGTTGTATCGAACTATTTGGAGGCGGTATCTGCAAATTTAAAGGAGTATGTATGTGTGTTTATTTCCAGCCCAACAACACAATATGGTGTGTTAGGATGGTGACACTTGTTACCACACTTCACTTTATTATGTATTTTGTATAGTTCAGTCAAACACTGTCTGCCATATTCTGCAATGTTCTATTTAATATCTAGTCTAGGACTGCTGAGCTGACTGTATTTGGTTCCCTTTTTATTCAGGAGGTGAAATGCGTTGAGAGATAAAATGATGGAATATGGAAAGAATCAAACCAGTGCGTTGAAATGTGTGTGAACACTGCAAGATTTTCTGTGTATCGTTATCAACAAGTTTATTTTTTTGGGAAAAGATAAATAATTGTAGTGAGAGCCTTTCGAAGTGCAAATGCAATAATGTGAGCTATATGTAAAAAAATAAATTCTAGGGCAATATTCTAATAGTGAAACAGTCACTGTGGAAACCAGTGAAATGATTCTCTTGATGTCTATGGTGATTGTACCACTTTTAGATGTAGAATTTCTCAGCTTCTCTCTTAGAAATACTGTGTACATCTAGTAACAGTGGCTGATATTGACATATCAATTTATCAATCCAGTCCTGCAAATCACGAGATCAGATTTACTGGTTTATTTACCGCAGTGAATCATCAGGAATTCAAAGTGAATGAAAAGTTTAAAAAAAAACAAAAAACGGAAACATTCTCTAAGTCAACTACGTTTTATTTTAGTTATCTTGGTCTTAACTTTGAGATTTAATTTGAATTGCTGACAATTCACACATTGGTGAATAGACCCGTCAAAATCCCATTTCACAATAATTGTCCCAGAAAAGGGATTTCCCAAGGCAGAATAGGCCATTTGCTGGTGAAGATGCACATATAAGCTTAGATCATATCTACTCTGTGTATACATTTCAAGTGTTTAAAATACCTGTAGTCACTAAGACTAAGGTTATATTAATTGGATTTATGTGCAAGGCTAACCAGTACTCGACCAGTGGCCACACAACATCACTTACATTAACTTGCACAAGTGTTACAAACCTGAGAATGTTGGACTAAACAGGTTCTGTTTGTTTGTTTTTTCCTGCAATCTGAGCTTCCTTACTAAGAAACAATACATCCGTGCCAAAGTATTTTATTATGTTTGTTGTTTATTATGTTTCATGATATATTTCCTTTAATTTACAAAAATGATGGACACATGTAGAAAGCCGGCCACTTAAAATCAGGTAAAAAACAAAAAGAGAAAAAGTAAATAAAAATTATATATATATCTTTATAAAACACAAAAAGCAAATGACTCTGGAGAATTGAACCTGTGGTTAATCACAGCAGCTGTGAAATGACGCGAAATTAACAATGCATGGCTTTATAATGCTGCTGACACTCAATAAGTAGGACAATCCGAGCCGCCATAAGATCTTTCGGGATAAGACTGTGATGACGGCAAAGTGTAACCTTTGTTTCTTAAGAAGGTAATATAACACAAATTGGGTTATTTGCTTAACTCCAAATTGTAGTAAATTGAAGATTGAATTGCTAAATTTAAGCTAAGGTTGTCAAACTGTGACAGTAGCTGAGTTGGACAATTTGGTTTTCAGATTAGCTGTGATGGACAGTCTGTGTTGGTTAGCGTGGATACGTCTGGTATGCATAGGGGACTTTCCTCTAATGCCTTCATCTGTATCCAGTTGAGTGGCTCGCCAATTCGCCATCAGTGACCATGTTCTACCAGTAGTCACTCACATGTCACCAAACAGTCTGTATGCTCACTTTAATTCTTTGGTTGATTAATTATTCACTGGGAAACTGTAACACAGGCTGTAGATAATTTTTGGGTACAGCCAGGAGGAAATTAAAAAATAAATAATATATATTTATATATATATATATATATATATATATGTGACAAATGCTAATTTAGGCCAAAATTGGGGAGCCAGGGAGAATTTTAAAGTTTAGCTTAAAGGGACACTATAGTGCCAGTAAAACCGCTTGGTTTTCCTGACACTATAGTACCCTGAGGGTGCCCCAACCCTCGGGGTCCCCCTCCCGTGGCGCTGAAGGGGTTAAAACCCCCTCAGCTACTCACCCTTTTCCCCTGCCTCTCCTCCCCCGCCGACGTTAGAATCCTTGTCTGACGTCACCGGCGCCGAATGCGCATTCAAAGTGTCCGTAGGAAAGCCTTTTTCAATGCTTTCCAATGGACGCTCTGCGTGATTGAGGCATAATATGAATCAGGCAGGGTTAACCCTAGAGGGACCTGACACCCAGACCACTTCATTGAGCTGAAGTGGTCTGGGTGACTATAGTGTCCCTTTAAAACTTTCCAATTTGTTATTCAATTCTCCAAAACGCTCGGTTTCAATGATAAACTCCACAGTTATAGTTACAGTTATAGACCCGGTCGCTGTTATGATGATGGTTATTTGGTTAGAATGTCGGCATTAATATAAATAAAATATATTTCTTTTGGATGTTTCTCTGTTTCCGTTTGAAAATCTACCTTACTTCATTCAAATGAGTTTTGTATATTTCAAAACCTGCACTTTACATATTAGGAATATATAAAAAATATAACAATAAAATTAGTTATAAAAATAATGTCTAAATCCCAAAATATCAAATATTTTGCATTTGTTGGTTAATCGGGAAAATATACAACCCCTTGGACAGCCAGCCCCTAATCGCAGCTTTACAACCTATTGCAATACCCTTAAAATTTAAAACAATTGATGGCATTTATTATGAAAGTACATGTTTTACCAATGTGTTTATGATAATTCTCTAAAGGCTACCTGCAAAAGAGAAAAAAACAAAAAACACAGAACAGATGGAAATGTTTTCATTTTAATGAGAGCAGCAGATGGCAACATTCCCCCGATGTCAGGTTCACTGCGGAAACTATATTTGCATCACAAAACAGTGCTGAGCGATCAAATAACTAGACTGCACTGTGTAATCTTCCTGTGCTTACGCAGGGATCACCGTCTTTGTCATCTCCCAATGAAATAAGAGCTATATGTCCCCCTGCAGTGATGGCTCTGGCCTCTGGGGGCTGATTAGCTACCCTTCAAACCTGGAAACTAAAATGCCAATGAAAAACCAACCCCGTGTGAGACATTACCAAGACGGATTTTGATTAATCTCTACAATAACAAGTTGTTTAGGTGTAAATGTTCATGTAATTAACTGTATTTTATTTTTTTCATTCTTAATTTTTGTGGTGCATAGAAAATACATGGATTGGAAAAGACATATCGTCAAAGATACACGAGAATTCTGCACATTTTAAAATATCGTACTAGATAGAATTAAAAATTGCTTAAAGGACCACTGTAGTGCCAGAGGGTGCCCCCACCCTCAGGGTTCCACTCCCGTGGCGCTGAAGGGGGAGGAAGGGGTAATCCCTTACCTTTTTTCCAGCGCCGGGCTCCCTTGGCGCTGGGGACTCAACTCCTCCTTTCCCCGTCATCGGCTGAATGCGCAAGCGCAGCAAGAGCTGCACACGCATTCAGCCAGTCTCATAGGAAAGCATTCTCAATGAGACAGCCACTAGAGGCTGGATTAACCCATTTGTAAACATAGCAGTTTCTCTGAAATGATTAGAAGTGTACATATGCAATATCACATGAACATATAGCGATCATCTGAAATGCAAGCATAAATTTGACACTGACACAAGCTTTATTTTGGCTTTTTACCAAGTTACTGTTAAATAATGAATATGGGTGTAAAGTGCAGTCTCTCCGCTTTAAGTTGAGGGTATTCACATCCAAATTGGAGGAAGTTTAGAAATTACAGCTCTTTAATATGTAGCCCCCTCTTTTTCAAGGGACCATAAGTAATCAATTATAATTAATCCTCAATCAATCTTTGTCAATTAAGCAGGTAAAAGGTCTGGAGTGCACTCCAGGTGTGGCATTTGCATTTATAAACTGTTGCTGGAAACTTACAACATGTGGTCAAAGGAGCTCTCTATGTAACAAAAAAAAAATCCAAATTAACAGTTTGGTACATTCTGAGAAGAAAAGAAGGCACCCGTGAGCTCTGCAACACAAATAGGCCTGGACGTCCATGGAAAACAACAGTTGTGGATGATTAAAGGATCCTTTCCATGGTATTAAAAAAAATCCTTCACAACATACAGCCAAGGGACGAGCACTCTCCAGGACTTTAGTTCGGACGGTTTCAAGCGGGAGGGTCCGCTGACCCACCAAGGCTCCCCTTGGGACAAATGGAGAAATTTCGTCTATTGCCCATATTCTTCTGCTTTGTAGTGGAGGAGTTGCAGCCGAAACTCCTAATGATTGGAGGAAGGCAGGCGCATCTTGAACGTTTGTAAGTGGGAACTTCTTTATGCTTTTCTCTGCCAGTAGGCAGTGTGGACCCTATCTGAACGGAATCTCAGCCTCTCTTAGTAGCTTTGTAGTAGAGCGAAGTGATTGTCTCCATTGCATGGTTGCTCTCAAGAGATCCTTGTAGAAGGACAACTATGAGCCCTCGAAAGATAGTGAGGGAGATAATCTTGCGGCTCCCGGGACTGCGGACTTGTCAGAGTCCCTTTGAAATTGCAGGAGCATGTCCCTAGGGGCCTCTGGGGGTGCCTTAGCTGCCTTGGGTAGTGTGTAACAGCGGTCAGCAGCAGCTTGCTTGGCTTGCTTTGGCGTTAGCAGTGTGGCTAGCAATCGCTGTATATAGTGTGGCAATTTGTCCGACAAGACAGACTCTGGTATGCTTCGGATCCTGATGTTACGGGCTTTGACCCTGTCCTCCAGACTTGCTAGTTGCTGGCTCATGTCGCCACATTTATTTTGCCGGGTATGGAGCGCTGCATCTGTAGCAGATTATGCCAATTGTGTACCACCTAGCTCTCCTTCAACAGCCTGGGCTTGGCCTGTCAGTGTGGCTATGTCCTCCCTCACTACAGCTATGTCTGCTTGGAACATAGCCTTGAGGTCCTGCAGTAAGGCTGTGATACCTGCCTTACTTGAAGGAGCAGCATCTGCCAGCCCAGCAGACTGTGGGAGTACAGGCTTGAATTGTGGCAGGATAATCTTCCTCCTGTATGCACTTTGCCTCCGACTAAACTTTCGATATCTTGACAGCCGGGTCCGGGATCCGCTCACTGCTTTTTGGAGCGTCGCCCCATGTTCCGTGGACCTGCTGGAGCCTGGGTTAGGGTTTTTTCCAACCCCCCGTGAGATGCTGTATATGCCCTGGAAGTAGGCGACGGCCCGGAGCTTACTGTGAGTGCGAGCGTCTCGCTAGGGCGCTGTCTTCGCCCCCCCCGCCCCCCCCTCCAGGAGTTTTTTAAGGCAAAGAAGTGGAATATTCTGCAATGGCTGAGTCAACCACTTGATCTCAATCCAATTGAGCATGCATTTCACTTGAAGACAAAACTTCAGATAGAAAAGCACATGAAGAAACAGCAACTGAAGACAGTAAAGGCCTGACAAAACATCGCACAGGAAGAAAGCCAGCGTTTAGTGATGTCCATGAGTTCCAGACTTCAAGCAGTCATTGCTTGCAAAGGATTCTTGACAAAGTATTAAAAATGAACATTATATTTATAATTGTATTAATTTATCCAACCACATGTGAGTCCCTGAAATAAGGGGACGGTGTATGAAATGGTTGATATTCCTAAACATTTTATACAATATTTTTGTTCAATCCTTGAATTAAACATGAAAGTCTGCAGTAAATTTAACCCAATTGTTTAATTTCAAGTCCAGGTCGGAGGAGCTATAGTGAGCAGCGTCTGTCCATGTTGGCAGTCAGCCTCCTGTAATTAACTGTATTTTAATTAGAGTAAACCTCAAGTAAACATGGCAGAAGAGAAATCACCAAACTATGGAATACATTGTATCAGCCATTTTTAATCAAGTTATAGATTTATTTCAGATTTTGCCTAGGGTCAAGAGATCTGGAATCACGTGCATCTTTACATGCACAGTGTCTGCCGCTCAGGGGACATACCTTCTCATTGCATAGATCAGCATGATAAATATTATGTCAATGTTTAACTTAACTACTCATCATGAAAATATTGATAACAGCGTCCCTATCTTTGCTGTGATCTGAGCTGCTTTGTTCTAGTGAAATGTATCAATTGTATTTCTAAAAGTGAAATGATAGTATGCTACAATTCATATTTGTGTTGTTAATTAGAGAGTAACAATATTCATCCATGATCATCATAATATGTGGACTCAAGTATGGTCTGTGATTGGTTAAAAGCCATTGCTATCTCATGTACAGAGTCACACTCTGGATTCTGACGTTTAGAGGACTGTTATATTTGTTTTAACAGACCACTGTATGCAGCCTTTGTTTTTAGATATTTGTATTTATTCATATTGCTGTTTGATCTAGGCAGATCTTCCTCTATTACTGATATATTGTTTTATTCAATATATCTGTTATTACATAGTCAACCGACCATGGCCACTTGACTATGATGTCATTTCTGCAGCAAATCTTGAATTCCATCTGTTTTAACTATATATATAACCTTGTATGCCAAGAACTGTTGGTTTTTTCCACTTGAGAGAGCTTTTGTATAAGGAGATATGCTTTATAGTTTATTTACTGATTTTATTAGCTATAAAGTATTATTTGGATTCTACTTTCTGGTATTGCCATATACTATTTACTTTTGCTATTTTACTTGTATTTTTTTTTACCTGGCATCCTATTAATATCTACGGCGTTGCCAGCTACCAGGACAAGAGTCCTAGGTGGAGATAGTACAACCTACGCCACATAGTGAGAGCAGTTGTAGTGCTCTGAATACTGCGAGTACGATTTTATCATCTCCCTATTTATCCGCACAGAGAGCACTATGTGGCTTCTCTTTGTTCTGTTTCGTATGATTCCCACAGTCTGCTATCCTGCTGCTGAGAATATCATGAAGATGTGTACATGTATCTGTATGTGGGGCTCTATAGCACTGTGCGCTACGTATTCCGGAGCTGGTTTGAAGCTCCACTTCATGTGAGCTGCCAGTCACACATTTGTGTATTGTGCGAGTTCCATTTGTTTCTGATGTATCGCACAATTTGGATCCTTTTTCTGATCAGTGGACCCAAGGCATTTTAGGAATTCGCTCTCCTTCTTCTAAAGAGAAGCAAACCAGTTACTATTGGGGCTGTCTGCCATCATTTCTATATTTGTATTCATTTTGTCCTTTTTGTTTTCTGGCATACAGTAAGCTGCATGTGTGCATATTTTGTTGTTGTACTGATTTTTATTTTTTAGTAATTAGGTGCAAGCTCTATATACTTTGTACTCTCCATTTCCTGAATATATCAGCTCTCCCTGCATACCCCAACACTGCTTTTACACAGACCTGAGGAGTGCAGCCAAAGCGAGGCTTGGAACGCAAACATCCCTGGATGATCTATCAGCGGCGCTCTGTGATTGGCCAGCGCCCGGCGGCGCTCTGTGATTGGCCACCACGCCCGGCGGCGCTCTGTGATTGGCCAGTCCGCGCAGCGCGGGAAGCTGTCAGCAGGGAGCAGCCATGGACGTGTGTGAGGTAGAGTTCATGGCGGAAAAGGAGTTGGTGACAGTGATCCCCAACTTCAGCCTGGACAAGGTCTATCTGATAGGGGTAAGCCGGCATTAATGCAGCCAGAGGGGAGTGTGTGGGGAACCAGTGACCCTCCACCGGGGGAGGACTGCCTGCTGGCTGAGCATCATGGGAATTGTAGTCCTCACCGGCTGGAGTGCTCTAGGTATCCCTCCAGTGACAGCTGCCATTACCTGTGTCTATTACACTAATATATAATATATATATCTATCTGCTATATTCCAGTCAATATATTGTGTATTACACACACACACACACATTGCTGTTATATTCCAATCAGTATATTGTGTATTACACACACACACACACACATTGATGTTATATTCCAGTCAGTATATTGTGTATTACACACACACACACACATTGATGTTATATTCCAGTCAGTATATTGTGTATTGCTACACACACACACACACACATTGATGCTATATTCCAGTCAGTATTGTGTATTACACACACACACACACACACACATTGATGTTATATTCCTGTCAGTATATTGTGTATTTTACACACACACACATTGATGTTATATTCCTGTCAGTATATTGTGTATCACACACACACATTGATGTTATATTCCTGTCAGTATATTGTG